TAGTTAGATTAGTTGAGTTTGAGAGATTTGTTAGGATAGGATAGATTAGGACTACAAACTGTGGGAATTGTTTGAAGAGTACTACAAGGTATCCAACTGTCAGTAGCCATAGCTGGTCTGAGGCTTTGTGAAGACCAACAATATATGGCGATTATTGGACAGGGTATACCTGGGGAGGGAAAAGTACAGCAGTGGGGCCAGGCAAAGAGCAAAGAGAAGGGGACAGAGAAACAGAGAAGTTTGCCCCCCTTCCAGCCTGCACCCCATCCCAAAGGTGGCAGCCAGTGGGGCTAGGATTAAAGACCCCTCTCCGTCACTGGTGCTGTGTAATGCCAGGTCCATAAATAATAAGATCTCAGTCCTTCGGGACTTCTTGCTGGAGCAAAATGTGGACCTGGCGTGCATTACTGAGACCTGGGTGCAAGATGGGGAGACCGTAGTGCTCTCCCAAATGGCTCTGCCTGGGTTCTCAGTCCTCCACCAGTCACGGACTAAGGGGCGGGGTGGGGGAACAGTGGCTCTGTTCATCTGGGAGGCTTACTCCTTCAGGGCACTCCTGCCGTTGAGGCTCACAGGCATAGAGTGTGCTGGCTTTGTGTGGGAAGCTGGGGAGAGTTTGGCTGTCTGGTTAGTGTACGGACTGCCCAGCGCACCAGCCGACAGCCATGTCGGGCTGGGCATTGGAGCACCCTAGACTGATAGTCTTCGGTGACTTCAGTGTCCATGCTGACGATGCGACCTCTTCACAGGTGGTGGACCTGGTGTCATCCATGGCAGCACTAGGACTCTCCCAATATATAACAGCCCCCACTCACCAAGCCAGTCACACGCTTGATTTGATCTTCGTGGCAGGGGTCACAGTGGACCGGATTACTGCTATGACAGTTCCATGGTCAGACCACCATGTCCTGAAGGCTCGTGTGAATGCTGCACCTCGACCCTGTTTGGGCTGTGAGTGGGGTTTAGGTTGCCCACGGAGCCAGATGGACCCTCTGTGGCTTCAAGTGGCCCTGAGGGAACCTATACCCCCTGGAAGCTCGTTGGATAACCTAATTGAGGATTGGCATGGCCAACTCTCGGCAGCCATCTACAAGGTTGCTCCCCAACGCCCTCTGCGCCCTCGCTCTAAGCTGGCTCCTTGGTTTACCCAGGAGTTGCGGCTGATGAAGCGAAGGGTTAGATGACTAGTCCAGAGAAAGTCAACAGATTGTTCTTAGTGGTACACCCAACCACATGCAGCCTTGATCCGTCCGTGCCCTTCATGGCTAATTAAAGTTGGTTGCAAGGGGTTTCGAGGTGCCCTCAGGAATATTATCCAGAAGTCCCTCATTGAGGGACTGTTCCTGGGGGCACTCAAGGAAGCGATGGTCCACCCTCTCTTTAAAAGACCATCCTTGGATCTGGCCGAATTGGCTAACTACCAGCCAGTGTCAAATTTGCCCTATTTGGGCAAATTAATTGAGAGAGCGGTGGCGGTACAGTTGCAGAGCTTTATGGATTACACTTCCATGCCGGATCCCTTCCAGTGCAGCTTCCGCCCAGGCCATGGGATGGAGACAGCACTGGTTGCCCTCACAGATGACATCTGAATCAGGACGGGATGGTGGTACTGTTGTTGTTGGACCTGTCGGTGGTGTTCAACACGGTCGACCATCAGTTACTGATCCACCGCTTCGCCGACACTGGGATCCAGGGGCTTGCCTTGCAGTGGCTTGTCTCCTTCCTCCAAAGTCGGGGACAAAGGGTGGCTCTCAGGGATCAGACGTCTCGGAGGCACCCGCTCATCTGCAGGGTGCCTTAAGGGGCAGTTCTATCTCCGATGTTATTTAACATCTACATGTGCCCCCTTGCCCAGATTGCCCAGAGGCATAGGCTAGGGTGTCACCAATATGCAGATGACACCCAGGTATATCTGTTGTTGGGTGGTCAGTCCGACTCAATCCCAGTAGACCTGGACCGGGCGCTTCAGGACGTGGCAGGCTGGCTTAGACTGGGCCGATTGAAATTGAATCTGACGAAGACAGAGTGTGCCTGAGTCGGAGTGGAACGGAGGTAGGGATCCCACTACTGACCTTCGACGGGGCACCGTTGGTGCCAGCCAAGAGGGTCAGGAGTTTGGGAGTGCTCTTGGATGCCACCTTGAGGCCCAAGAAGCAGCCACTGCCAAGGCAGCCTTTTACCATCTCCGGCTGAAGGCATTGCACTGGCTTCCAATAGCATACTGAATTTGCTTCAAGGTGCTGGTTTTGACCTTTAAAGCCCTATATGGTTGGGGGCCTGCCTACCTGAGTGACTGCCTTTCCCCACGTTCCCTAGAGAGCACTGAGGTCAGGGTCGCAAAATTATCTGACTTTCCCTGGTCCAAAAGACGCCAGATTGGCATTGACCAGGACTAGGGCCTTCTCAGTGGCGGCTCCACACTGGTGGAATAAGCTCCCGGAATACATCAGGGCCCTGCGGGACCTTCTACAGTTCCTCAGGGCCTGTAAAATGGAGCTCTTCCACCAGGCTTTCAATTAGGAGCTGCCACTTGTGTGGGTGCAGGGTTCACGCGATGCAAAGATGACAGGACACAAGTCTGCAGGAACTGACTGAACTGAATCCTCTCGGCTTCCCAGCGTTTATTTATAAGTTTCTTGTTTCCCCCTTCCCTTTCATACATTACAGCATCCTAGTCATGAGACATGAACTAAGGAATGTGTGTGTGCTGGCAAGTTCTCTGTTATCTCTGCCTCTACCCCTCTCTCAAGGCCAAACCGACTGCTTGTCATTAAGCAGTAAACAGATTCCATCTCCGGCTCTCATTACGTATAAATATTTCAGTTCCCAATCTCCAGCCAGGAGAATAGTGAATCCATCTGCACTGCTCTCCTACAGCCACTAACACATCGACAACATCTGAATTGCCAACAACAAGGCCCTTATGTTAATAGTAATAAGAACAGCTAATGATACCGGTATGGCCACATAGTATCATCATAAAATGGCCTTATGAGACACTATCGCCATCTACATGCAACAGCACTGTTGCATTGTTTAATGCATCTATGTTTTATTGTATTTATTGTATTGTATTTTAATTTGTTGTAAACCGTCCTGAGCCCACCCATGTGGGGAGGGCGGAATATAAATCAAACAAATAAATAAATAGATAAATAAATCTATGCGAAGCCTGGCAGCTGCCCCCTTTCCTGTCACACTCTGACCTGGCCACAGTAATCCATGTGACAGTCACCTCCAGGCTACATTACAGCAATTTACTCTACTCTGGCCTGCCCTTGAGACTGACCCAGAAGCTCCAACTGATCCAAAATGTGAAATCCAAGGAAATCAGCCAATGAATGGGATGTCCCCTCAATGCTATATACACAATCATTTCTATTTCTGTCTAAGTCACGATGCCAGAGGGGACAAAGTAGGAAAGTTTTCAATTAAAATTATAATATACTTGAACTGAAGGGAGGCAGTTTTACACACACCCAGATAATGTTAGTTAAAAACAGAATATTATTTCATCTTTGGTCTAGTTTTTCAAATGTGAAGGATAAGGAGGAGCAACAAGTTTCCCTTGTTTTGTGCATCTTCAGAGCAAGGTATCAGGTATCTGGAGCACTAGTATCTGACAAAGAGAGCTTTGACTCTCAAGAGCTCATACCCAAAAAACCTTATTGGTCTCTAAGATGCTTGAATATAGCTGTTCTACTGCAGGCCAACATGGCTCCCCTCTAAAACTGTCTTCAGAGCAAAGCTTTGGGATGAACCGGTATCATCTTCTTTTTATAGATGTGTAACTGATGGCTGGTGCACACATTGTTGTCTGCCACCTGATTACTGCACTTTCAAGTGGTGTCTTGTAGGTGTGAAGAAGCCGTCACAGACAACCTTTTATGGTACCTCAAAAGCAGTAATTTTCAGTGAACTCAGTTCACAAATTCAGCTGCCAGACATATTGAGCAATAAGAAACAAATGGTGAACGTGCATATGGGAAGGAGTCATGAGTCTGGCAGCATGCTGTAATTGCAGCAATCAGGTGTTGCTAGCTCAGTGCATTCCATTTCCACAAGAAAATCTAAAGTGCTTGCTAGTTCCCTTGTTCCCCAACATGAATGAGGGCCAGTTTAAAGACAATGTTCACCCAGGGAACCTTGCTGATGCACATCTTTTAATTTAAACTGGGCTGCCCGAAGTGCAAAGCAGTTCATGTTTAACTAGTACACCAATGCAGCATTCGCCTGGGTGAACTGAGCAGTGTTAAATGAGAAACCATGCAAAATTCCCCAGGGAGTGGAGCTTAAATTGGCTCTTCCACAATGAGAGATAGGCCATGACCTGGATAGCCCAGGCAAGTCCGATCTTGTCAGATCTCGGAAGTTAAGCAGGGTCGACTCTGGCAAGTACTTGGATGGGAGACCTCCTTAAAATATGGAAGGTGGGGGCAGGCCTTATTCAGCCACTTCCCTGAATATCCTCCAGGCCTCCAGTAGGGGGTCAGTCACTAGAGGTCACCATGACTTCCAGGTGCGCACACACTCACAAACACATGTGTGCACACACCTGCACACATAAAAAATACAAAAAAAACATACAAAAAACCCACAATGAGAGGTAGAAGAAAATTGTATGAATCCCATTAGAGCCACAATATGTTAGTTATCATATATGCATTCATAAATAGCTACTAGTCTCTGTGGAAAGTATCAGTATAACAAAAATTGGTTTTGTTCTTTTAAGTTACAAATTACTAACAAAGTCAACTTAAGCGGAAGAACCAGTGTGGATATTCATAAATTAAAAATCCCTGAAGACTTACTGCAAAACTGTCTTTAAACCTTCAGCAAAGCATTCTAAGAATGGGTGTTACTTTCCCTAATGTTGCTGAACAACAAGAGAATATATAGTTTCTAATTTATAATGGGATTTTCATTTTGAATGGGATGGGGAAGATGAAGTGTTGGTGCAAGCTTGCTTTCTAAATGGTGTTTATTTCATTATGTTTTAGGTTGCCACCACCTAAGCTGAGCAGCTGGAAGCTTGTCCTGAAAATCTTTGGGCATTCGTATCTTAATGGATTGCTGTAAACTGCTAATTTCTCCATTCGTCCACTTCCTAGTTTCGTGAAAATATTAGCCAGCACAGATCCTGGGAAAGTTACATGTAAGTCCTGCTGATGCCTGTTTCATTAAAAACAAAAGGCTGTAGAAACAAAGTATTTCTGTCTGGTTAGGAGGAAAAACAGTCAATCTATATAGTGCTTGTTAAAACATCCTAAAAGCTGTAATTCAGTAGATAACATGAGGCTGTGAATAAATTGATCCTGAAGTACTATTATTGTCTCTTTTAAAAACTAAATGGAGAATGTAATTTTGTCATTTTGTGGGCTTTATAAGTACCTTTTCTGCCACAGCAAAGCTTGGCACAAAGTACTTTATAAATAGCTTAGGTATTTGTCTCAAAAGAATGCTAGGATGTGTGTGAGTGTGTTCAGAATAATAATCCACAGTTAGGCATGGAGAGTTTAAAGTTATTTGATCATCTTAAAAACTTTCCCAGCAGTGCATTACAGCTTAGATGAATTCCGACAAGCAGTCTTTCCTATAACCTGGTGACTTTTGTGATTGTCCATGCTGGGGTCCATGGCCATTAGCTTTCTGGCAAAATTGAAGGTTGTTTCCTTTTAAAAACCTTGTGCTTGCATGGCATCCACAAAGCTAGCTATGTAGCAGATATCTGAATATTCACTTTGTCATGGATTCTATTGTGTGGCAGAATAATCTGGTAGTTCAATCTTCCCCTAGAGAAACCAGCTCTTAACTCAAATCTCTGATATATGGAGTGCCTGTATAAAGATGGCACATTTCAAATGGCTCCTATCTTGCCAGGAGCGAAGCATGAAATCAGTCTGTTGTGTTACTTACCTCCCTGCATCCTGAGAAACCTCATAGTGAGTACCAAGGGAGATTTCAGTATGTGTGTGTTGTGTTTGGGTTGTGTGAGGCCTAGGACAGATCCAGGATGGCAAGAAACTGTGTGCTAGGCTTAGGGGATGGCACAGTACTGCTCTGTCTTTTGGGGGTGGTGGTACATTTGTGTGTGTGTGCGTGCCCGTGCCTGGAAGTCATGGCAACCTCTGGCAGTTCCTACTGGGGCACGGAGGACATTTTAGAGAAGTGGCTTGATAGTCTGCCTCTGGCTCCTGGTCCTGGTATTCTTTGGAGGTCTCTCATCCAAATTCTTGCCAGAGTCAGCCCTGACCAGCTTCCGAGATCTGAAGAGATTGGGCTTGCCGGGGCTATCCAGGCCAGAGCTCGCATCGCTCTGCCTTAAACATTTTCTCCTATATCGTTGTGTTACTTTTGTTTTCTTGTGGAGGGGTCCCACTTAATTGAAGGCTGTGGCCCTAGTAGACAGGACAGCAACAATTGCATGTGTTTAAAGGTGAAACTGCTCCCATCATGTAGAAAGGAATGGCTGGGATCCAGTTTTAAAAACAGAAATGGTTTGCAGACTAGTGCAGAAGCTTTCCTCAACCCATAGGTTGCTGTCCTGCAGCGTTTCTCCACCAAGCTGTTCTCCTGTCAGAGGCAACAAACTGTACAATAGCACTCAGTGAAGGCCAATTTGTGTACATCTCACATGTGACTGTTACTTTGAGAGTTGGTTTGTTGAGGCTGTAGATCATTGTACAACAAAGTAAAAAGCAAGAATAGTACTGTGCAAAGGCATGGGTATTTTTGTGTGGAGACTAGAATAGTTGATAGTGTTGCTTGGTTATGGGTTATCCAGGTATGAATCCTTAATTGGCTATAAAATTTACCCAGTAGCCTAATTTTGTTCACCAGACACATTTCTTATATGCATAAGTGATCCAAGAACTATAACAACCTTGTGCATCATGTATGAAAAGTTATCCTTTATGCTGTGTTTTGGTCTGCTGCTACTTTAGGCAAGGCTGAGTAATGTGTTGTCCCATATCCATAGTTACATTTTTGTAGGGTCATGTGACTACTTGCAGCTGCTCAAATAATTCTACCAGGATTACCCAGAGGGATTTCATGGAATGAAAATTGTGCTAGATCAAAGCTTGGTATTTGAAATATTCTATACAACGACATCTGTCATTCACAATTGTGATTTCCTAAGCAGGACTTTAAATCACAACCTTCTTGAGGACACCTTCACATATTATACTTTTTACATGTGCATGTGAAATAGTTTGTGCATACCCAGAAAACTGTAACGTGTGCACACAGTTGAATGATTTATGGCCATATATTGTTTGCTACACCCTGTCGGATATACATGCAGTAGCAAGCATATGTGTGCCATGGTGTAACCTTTGAAGGACTTTCAACAATGTACTGCTGTTGGAGGGTGTTAAGAATACTTGGAGGGGATAGCGCTGTTTGATTTAATCCTGATGAAGAAATTGTGACCTGATCCAATGACATGCCCTGACACCAAACAAAACACCATACAGACCATTGTAGCAGTGTAATATTTTGTCTATAATTTTTTCCAGTTTTATCATCTTTAAAGTTGTAAATTTTTATGGAGTTCGGGGGGGGGCGTCTATGAAATATTTTCTCCTTTGAAATGAATGAAATGCTTTTTAAGATGAGGTTTTACTCAGATTATGTACTATGACATTTTTAAAGACAATATATGACATAAGATAACCGGTGGGGGGCATCTCATATCTTCCTCTTGCACTATTTCCACTTTTCTTTCCCTGAAAGCCCCCATAGCCTCTCCCTTTTCCCTTCTGTCCTTCTCATCCAACAGCCAACCTACTCTTACTGTCCCCCAGTCTTCAGCTTTCCCTCTCCCATCTGACAGCCTTTACCTAGGAAAACTGTGTCCCTGTTCTGTGGTGCTGGCCACTGGGCCAGGCCCACTTGCATGGTAGGTAACCCTCAAGGATATGCAGGGACACCTCATTTTTCCTTGTATTTCTCCTACGTCTTTCCCTTCTCCTGGCAACCCCCATATCCTCTCCTCTTTCTCTGCCTCATTCTCTTGCACTCAGCCATTCACCAACCTACCTTTGATCTTCCCCCTGTATTCAGCTATATTTATTTACTTATTTGCTTCATTTATACCTCATCTTTCTCCACAGTGGGAACCCAAAGCAGCTTATGTTATTCTTCATTGCTCTTTTTTATCCTCAGAACAAACCTGTGAAATAGATTAGTCTGAAAGTATGTGACTGACCCAACATCACCTAGCAAGCTTCCATGGCAGACTGGTGATTTGAACCTGGGTCAAGCACCAATGAGTTCTGCCCCCTTTCCCTGGTTTTTATTGTAAGAAACTAAGTCTTGAATGCTGTGGATCTTCTTCGTGGTCTCTGTGTATCACACTTCTGGGATACTGCGCCTGCGCCGACCTCGATCAGTAGAATTGAAAGCAAAAGGATTTTCGTGCCTGCTTCCGAGTCACGTGCAGGACTCCAGTGCGCATGACTATGGGAGGGGCATGACAATCCCACCAGTTTTCTTCTGACCACCGCGCTGTTCGGATCCTCTCTGCTCCCTCGGTAGTTTTTTCTCTCCCTCGGTAGTTTTTTCTCTTGGCCTATTGGCTTTCCCTCTTTTTTCTTCCTACTTCGGATTACCTGTAAAAGAAAGCATTTCCTTACTTGGGACTGGACTTTAGTGAGTACTCTGCCCCGGCAGACTTCTTTCTACCCCCAGCCTATGGCCAAGCAGTGGGGTTTCTTCAAGCAGTGTTAGAAGTGTGGCAGTAAGGTCGCCCCCCTGACGGACACTCTCTTTGCCTGTTGTGCCTTGGGGAAGCCCAACTGCACGCACTGCTCCAAATTCTTGAAACAAGCAAGGACTGTGAGACTTTGTACTGCTTTGTTGGAGTCAGCCCTTTCTCCAATGCCATCACTTCAAGACACCTCCGGGCATGCCACGATGTCAACCGTCGCCTCTGGGTCGACAGCCGCGATGACTCCGACACCAGCCTGCACCGATGACAATTGACAGACATTGAAACACTCTGTCCTGATGTCTCAGTCTGATGCCCACACTCCCAGTAAGAAACATAGGGGAGGGCAAGGACACCAAGCCTGTCAAGCACAGAAACAATAAGAAAGACGCCCCTAGTAGAGTTCTTTCGACTCCTCGGCATGTGCCGGAATCGACTCATGTGCTTGGGACAGCGCTTGGCTCGCCAGGCTGCAGGCAATCACAGGGTGCATCATCCCCACTGTCATGGGCTGGGGTGCCAGTCAAAGGGAGTCCAGAACCAGCCAAGGTCAGGAGCTAAGAAGACAGTGCAAAGTCCAAAAAGCCAAGCCAGGGTTAGGAGTCAGAAACACAGTAAAAGGTAAAGGTAAAGGTTCACTTGCTCGAAAGCCAGTCGAATCCGACTCTAGGGTTGCGGTGCTTATCTCCGTTTCAAAGCCGAAGAGCCAGCACTGTCCAAAGACGTTTCCGTGGTCATGTGGCCGGCATGACTAAACACCAAGGTGCATGGAACGCTGTTACCTTCCCACTGAAGTGGTACCTAGTTATCTACTTGCAATTTCTTGGTTTCGAACTGCTCGGTTGGCAGGAGCTGGAACTAGAGACGGGAGCTCACTCCGTCATGCGGCAGCTCGGTCTTGAACTGCTGAACTACCGACCTTACGCAGCCTGAAGTTCAGCATCTTAACCATTTGAGCCACCGCAGCCAAGACCAAGTCAACAACCAGAAATGTAGTCCAAAGCCAAGCCGGGGTCAGGAGCCAGGAACACAGAGCCAAGTCCAAAGCCAGGGGGTCCAAAGGTCTAGGTGCAAGAGCCGAGCCGAAGTGGATGCTAGCAGCACGAAGCTGACTTGTTGCTTCCACAAAGGGTACTGCCCAGAGTGTGGAGTTAAATGCTGCTACCAGTTAGTCAGCTGCATGATCAGCCAGCTGTGGTTTCTGCAGGCTCTGTCAGCTCATCCTCATCCATGCCCATGACACTCACCCTTGCCACGCCCGATAAGGCTCACTGATTCTGAGCAGGGCATGGACTTAACTGAAGTCTCCCGATCCTCCAATGTCATGAGTCTTCATTAAGGCTGAGGGTCTCATGCTTCCGCGCAACCCTCCCCATGTCGTTTTCCTGTTGATAATCAGGATTGACCTTTGGGGTCGCTTCTCCCTCCTCCACCGAGCCCCT